GACTAAAGTCTTCCTTATTGTCTTTAACAAGTGTCAGAATACTTTTTTTTTAATACCTGGACAGGGTCCTCTCAATTTGTCTTCAAACAAATGCACACTCTACCTAGACCTCCAAATGGAAGCATAATTATACAAGGAAATATATTTTTCAGAGGGGCATCTGTTTCACTATAGGAACCTAACCTAACTTACATCACTGGACCCAAGGAAAATGGTACCTATTAAGTTTTATTTCAGTTAAATACCTGAAAGGAGGGTTTTTGAAAAACTCTAAGATTATATATTCATTGATAGTTATAATAATAGTCAACATTGGTTGAGCTGCCATATATACGCTAGCCTCATTTTAATCTCCTCACCAACATTGAAAGGTAGTCATTACCTCTTTTTTACAATTGAGGAAACTGAGGCTCTGAGAGGCCAATGAACATGCCCATGTTCACACAGCTGGTGGGTAGTAGAGCCTTGATCTGTACCGGGGTCTGTTGACTACGGTGTCTTTGTGCTATTGTACCCTGATGCCTTCTCATCGAGTTACCCTACTTTTTGTTTCCTTATCACCCAAAATGGCTCAACTGCATGTAACTCTTAAGCTAGACACTTGGATTCTGGTCAGATTTTTTTTTTTGCCAGTGTTCTTTGAAATGCTTTGCAGTTCATTTGCAGAACTGACAACATTTTGTATTAAGTTGAAGTTTATAAATATACATAGGGAAGCCAAGAGCAGGTTTCCCCCGAGTGATTCAGGAGCACATGGACTATGAAGGAGGGAGGCTCACTGGCTTTCAGCAATTTGCATGAAGAATGACCTAGAGCCAGAAGAATGTGGCCAGAGAAAGAACCACAGATGCACCTACCCCCTTGCCTGGCTCCCAGTGGAAAGAGAGTGGAGCTGAGCCAGACCTGGAGGCAGAACATTATTGCTTGTTGTGTAGGTGAACAGCCGGTATTTATTAGAGCTGGAGACGTCCCTGGTGGGGCTGGTTACAGAAGGCTCTGGTGGAAGGGCCCTTTGTCTTTCCACACACCGACCCTTCTCCATCTCTGGCCCTGGTTGACTTGAACTTTGTGTTTTGCGTAACTGATGGAAACCAAACGTAATTGCCAGCAGTCTGGGATGCCTCTCTCAGGTTTGCAGACCAGCTCCACCCAGCTCTTTCCTCTGGCTTTCCCACTCACTGTATGGTTGCTGCTCAGCGGCTGATCTGCCCAAGTTACGGCTTGAAGAATGGGGAGCTGTTGGTATTCACAGGACAGCCTTCTCTGCTGTTTCTTTCTGTGTGTTCACGTACAACCAGCCTTCCTGGTGGCACTGGAAAAGGTACAGGTGTTGTTAAGTGCCTCTTCTTTTCATGAAAAAATTAGTGGGTATTGTGACTTGTAATTAAATGAGTGGCCTGACTCCATCTACTACCGCCAATTGTAGATTTCTCATTATTGATTTTAAGTAAATAATTCTTACTTCCAGGTATCATTCCCTACTTCCCAGTATGACACATTGCTTTTTTACACCCATGGCCTCTCTAGTGATTTATTTCTCCCAGAAGTGGGTGTAGAAGGTGAGGGCAGGAGGGAGAGATAGCCATAATAAAAAGAGCTAATGTTTACTGAGTGTGTAGGCACTATTGGAGCTCTTTATTCCAATCCTATTTGGGCAGGTACCATTATTCTTCCCACTTAACAGATGAAAGAACTAAGGCCATCATAGGTGAGATAACTGCCCAGGTGTGCACAGGTAGTAAGTGGTACAGCTAGATTCAACACTAGGTAATGTGATTCAGAGCAAATGCTCTTAAGGTAGAAATATAAAAATGGGTGTGTATGTGTGTGTGTGTGTGTGGGGGGGGATTCTCCAAATACCCATTGTGCAGTTTATAGCCTAGACTCAATAATTATATATAATAAATGACTTTCACCAAATTCAACAAATATTTGGTCAAATTTTCAGTATCAACTTATGAAGATCAGTCATTAAAAAGTTGGGAGCTGCAGGTCCCCTTGAAGAAGGCTATGGCTCCCTCTTACTCCAAAAAAAAAAAAAGCATGCAAAATGTTTGCTTATAATTTCCAAAGGTTCAGAGGCCCTCTAAAAACTCCCTCCCAATAGACTTCATGAAACCCAGGTTAAGAACACTGGATTTAGAACAAGACTAAACTTTATTGGTATGAAAAATTGAGTTGACCATGATGGGAGGAGAGGACGCTGAACTGGTGCAGGGCTGCATGGCCTCTGGCAAACTGTGCCCTTTTCTATGTCATAGTCATAGTAGCTTCCCTCGTCCTCTAGCAGCCCCCGTTTATTGTAAAGTTCAACAAGATGATGCCTTGAGGTCCCCAGGGAAAAGTGTCTCATTCCTTCTGGAAAATTCCCTTCGAGGTTCCAGAGCCCCAGGAAATTTGCAAACCCAAAGGAGTGCAACAGCCCAATAGGGACCAATGACTCCTGTGGGTAGGACAGCCCAGGAAGAGAAGCGAGGGCCGGTACCCAGGCCCATAAGCCTGCAGAGGCAAACACCTGGCACCAGGGACTTCCTCAGGGAGCAGTCAGTCAGGTTCATCACCCGGGCCTCACCCTGATGGGGTATATTTGCTGCAGAGATGAAGTTGCTGGATAGCAACCCAGGGAGGTTGTGTGTGTGGATAGGGACCACAGAAGACAAGGGAAAAGGGAAGTGGAACTGTCAGTTGATGGTAGAAACAGACTCTTAAGAGGCTGTAATACCCATTCTTGTTAGGAAACTAAGTCACCTCCCCACTCCCATCACCAAAGGACTAGGGCTGGTTGACTACCCTCAAAGTAAAGCTCCCCTCTGTAACCTCTGCCCTCCACTGCTTAGATATGCTGCCCTTTGGTATTGCCCCCACTTTTAAGGCTACTCCTGGTGCTTGTTTTAAACAAATTTCATCTAGATGGAAATTTACTCCTGGAAGTTGAGGGTGAGGAAGGAGGCTCATAACATGGGAATAATTTAGGGTCAGTCTCGGGAAGATAATTCAGATAATGATTAATATTCATCAAGTATGTATTATGAGCAAGGCCCTAGGCTAAAGGCGTATGGACATAACCTCATCAGATCCCTCCAACAGTCTACAAAGTGGGTTTGATAATTATTTCCATTTTACAGATGAGAAAACAGAGATTCAGAGATGGAGTTAGCCTGCTGAAGGTCAGGTAGTCAGAAAGTGGTGAATCAAGGACTTGAACCCAGGTCCCTGACTGCTGAGTTCGTCCTCTCAGTTACTTCACTGCAGTGGGCTCAGGGGCAGGGCTGGGATTCAGGAATTTCTCCCCCAGAGGAGCACCTGTGTCAGGACCCCTGCCCATACAGGCTGTCCTGGGCCCAGGGGATTCCACCTTCTTCAAGTTCCTCCCCTCCATTCCCATTGCTTACTCCTTACTCCAGGCCTTCGTCCACAGGCCCAGTTGCTCTCTCTCTGCCAGTCTTGGCCTGCTCCATCCCTCAGTCTGGATGTCAGGGTGACACTCTCTTCCTAGGACTTTACTTTGGGCCCAGCACCCACTTCTTCTACATTGCCAACCCCCCATTAACTGAAGAATAAAATCCAACCACCCTGGGCCACACTCTTCCTCTTCTCCTGCTCTTTGCCACATCCAAACTAGACATATTGTCTATCCTTTCAGGTTGGCTTTTGTTCATATCCTATATAATAAAAGCCTAATATGCAAATTGACCGAATGGTGGAACAAACGATGAAACGACTGGTTGCTATGATGTGCACTGATCACCAGGGGGCAGATGCCCCAGGACAGCCAAGGCGGGTGTGAGTGGGGGAGGAGGAGTTGCGATCGCCCTCCCAGTTGCCCCGCAGAGGGAGGCAACTGGTGGTGGTGGCTGGGGCGGGGCCAGCGAGCAGGCGGTGCCAGGCCGGCCAAGGCAAGTGCCAGCAGGGGCCACCAATTGCCCCGCTGGTAGCCCCACAGATGGGCCCTGATTTCTGGACAGGGCTAGGGACCCTACCCATGCACGAATTTCGTTCACTGGGCCTCTAGTATATGTATAAATCTTTAACTCGCATTTTTAAAAAAATCAAATGTTTTTATTGATTTTAGAAAGAGAGGAAGGGAGAGAGATAGATAGAGAGAAACACTGATATGAGAGAGAAATATCCATGGCTGCCTCCTGCACACCTCTTACTGGGGATCGAGCTGGAAACCTGGGCATGTGCCCTGTCTGGGAATCAAACCAGTGACCTCTTGGTTCATGGGTTGATGTTCAACCACTGAGCCATACCAGCTGGGCTCACACACATTTTCATGATATATGTTGCCATGGATTCTTTTGGGAAAAGAATAAATAAAATTGTAATATAAACTTGTAAACAATCATTATTTCCTAGTGGTGCTGGCCAAATTTAGTCTTCCTTCTAGAAAGCTCTCCCCATCCCCTCCATGGATTGAGACTCTACTTCTCTCTCAGTCCCCAGGTCAAGCTCCCCCAGCTCAGGGAAACCTCCCCACTGCCCTGGACCTGAATGACAGAAGGGATAGAGGTGGAGGGGAGAGGTAGGGGTTGGCTCCCTTTCTCCTTCCATCACCAGTGCCTCCTCCCACAAGGACACTCACATGGCAGGCAGGGGAGCCTCCATCCCAGGCTACTGTGGGGGTGGTGATGGGGGTGGGGAGGGGGGAGTGGAGAGGGGCATAAATGTGAGGGAGTGGGTAGGGGCATAAAAAAAGAGGAAGAGTGGCCCAGGGTGGCTAGATTTTATTCTTCAGGACTCACCTTAGCCGCCCTACAGCCCCGCCTACCTCTGCCCCATCCAGCCACCCCTGACCTGCCAGCTGTCCCCTTCTCTCAACCTGGCCAGGGAGCCTGGCGGGACCTTGGTTGCTCCCCGCCCCCACCCCCCCAGCTTCCCTGCAGCAGTCCCTTCCAGCCCCAGCCTGAGTTTCCCAGCGGCGTGGCCACACCTCCCCAGGCCCCGCAAGGGTTAAGGCAGCAGAGAGGAGAGGTTTGGGCTGACGTTTAGCTCTGTCGCTGAAGGTGGTTCCCTCCGATGAGGATGGGAGAGCCTGGCGAGCTGAAACCGGAGCTCCCGCTCAGCTGGGACTTGGGGAGGTCCCTGTAAGAACCGCTGCCCACCGGCCCCCTCGGTCCCTCCCCTACAGTCACTCGGGGCACTGGCCACAGGAACGATGGAGCTGGGCTGGTGGACGCAGTTGGGGCTCACTTTCCTGCAGCTTTTACTCATCTCATCCTTGCCAAGAGGTACTGTGAGTAGCCGGCAGGACACCCCAGTTGGGAGGCATCTCCTTTCTGGGGTCTGTAGGGAGTGGGCCTGGGGAGCCCCAATAGTTGGTGCTGCGGGTGGGCTGTGGGGTCTTGGCTGGTGCGCCTGCCTCCTTCCCGAGAATGTGACTTGGTTTTGTCATCCCAACTTGTGGGACTGAAACTGCCTCACGAAGGGGTACCAGCTCCAGTTTTATCCATTTATTTTATTTTGTCTTAGTTTTTTATAGCATAAAATTACCTCCAGGAGTCTATCCAGCCTGAGTTACCCACTCTGACTCGCAAAAGCCAAGTTTCTCCTAGAAAGAGCCCCTCGGAGGCGAGTGGGAAGGAGAGAAATGAATCGGGAGCCGGGCTTGCCTCAAGGGCGTTCCTGCCGGTGGGTGTCTTGCTTGGTGAGATGTTACTGTTACATCCCTTCAGGACAGATCCCCGCCTGGGAGGTTTCCTCGCTTGGCATACGTATTTCCTTCCTGATAAGATTGAGAAGGATGAGGAAAAGGCTGAGGTTAAAAGTGCACGTTGTTTCTGGGGACACACAGTGTTTGTTTAGAAGGAGCTCTGGCTTCTCTGTGTGTTTTTTTTCATGTGTCATTTTCGGAGCCACAAACCCACGTCCAGTGGACTCCCGGGGCAAGTGCGGCTGAAACCAGACCCGGACCTTCTGGGAGCCTCTGAGGCTGGAGCAGAATCGAGGGACTGGCAGGCTTGTTCTGTGGCTGCTCGCTGGCAGGCAGGGAAAGGGGGCTTCTCAGGAGCATCTGTTCTTACAATGGATGGCTCTAGGGGTGAGGTGTCAGGAGGTAAGGCGAGACCTCTTGCGGTAAGGCAGGTGGAAATTCGCGGATGTGACAAAACAGGGCAGCTTTGCACGGGAGCAGGGAGTGTGTGAGCTTTGCTGCCCCCCCTTCTGTGCTGGTTACCTGTCACCTTCTGTGCTGGTTAGTTGTCACCTGTGCTGGTTACCTGTCACCTGGGCTGGTTACCTGTCACCTGGGCTCTACCCAAGAGCTGGGTGCTCCATTGCTGCAATTAGCTGGCAAGTGTCCCAAGAGTGAACAAAAAGTCAAGATTCATGACAAAAGCTGCACTTTGGTCAATGCTTTCCACCTCCCCATAGGCTGTCAGCCGCTGGTGAAATCTTGGTGATTTCCTCTCAAGCTGGACAGAGGGTTTCATTTGAATTTTTTCTCATCTGGAGTGAACGACCGCAGTGAAGAAAGAAGGGGGCGCGAGGGGCCGATAACCCAGACACTCGCCCTGCAGTAGGGTGACGGCTTCCCATGCAGACTGCTCCCTGCCCTACCTCTCCCTTTTAGAGCCTGACCTCCAGGCTTGGTGGCCCCCAGGCCAACTCCAGAGGAACCTGGTTCCTACTGGGAGCACCAGGGCTCGGATCAGCCCTCCTCCTGCTTCTCTCTCTCTCTCTCTCTCTCTCTCTCTCTCTCTCTCAATAATGTGGCAGGTGAGACATCTCAAACCCATAAAACTTTAAAAAAACAAACAAACCCAAAGCTCAGCTACCTTTTTTCTTGCCCAGGATCTGAAAAACCCATTTGTTCCCGACCCGAGAATCTCTTTTACTTTCTGCTGTGGAAACGCTTCAGGGAGGGTGCGTGGATTCCTGGCAGCCGAGCCGCGGGCTGAACCGCAGGGCAACTTCTCAGTGTCTAGCGAGGATAGCTCCGCTGGTGAGCCTTCACATTTAGAGGGCAGGCGGAGGGATGGCGAGGAGAAGGAAAATATTTCTTTAAGTAGTGAATGAGTCCCCTCCCTGCTGGAATCTAAATCTGGCCCCGGCAGGAGAAGCCTGGAAGCGTAGCTCCTCTAATTGCTTTTCTAAAATGAGTGCTTGATGAAACGCAAGCATCCACTGGATGGCTCAGGGGATGTGGTTGCTCATCGGCATGGGACACATGTTGGAGGACGAGAAGCCAAACATCAGGCCAAGCGATAACCCAACATAAATAGCATGTGAGGGAGAAACCCAACTCCACTGACTTCACCAAATAGCAGCAGCTCTGCCAGCAGGATTCTGCCCAAGAGGAAAAACTCATTTAAAATATGTGACTCTTGGGAATGAAACCTTAATATGGATAACTCCACGAGCGTTGCTTCCAACAGACATTAGCTGGTGGAGGGGACGAAGCGTAAAGGCAGCAGGGGAGGATGATTTGAAATACAGCTATTCAGTGGGCAGGAGAAGGAGCTGAGAGAGGGGATGTGGAAAGAAAGCAGGGGAAGGAGTGGCAAGAAAAATTAGATGTTGGTTTCTAATGGGATGTGTTAGCAAATTCCAAGGAGAGAGCTATGAAAATTGGGCCTTCTTGGCAGGGGTGGATTTTTGTGGGGACCATGGAGAGGGAGTTTCCCTGAGATATACTCCGAAAACTTCTGGCTTCTCCAACAGGAAAATAATTGAATGGTGGGATCATGGAGTTTGGGAGTTGGGAGTGACTTTAGAGATCATTTAGTTTGAGTACTTTGTTTTTTCTTTTTTAAAAAGTATTGTTAAATTTGATTTCAGAGAGGAAGGGAGAGGGAGAGAGAGATAGAAACATCAATGATGAGAGAGAATTATTGGTTGGCTGCCTCCTGCATGCCCCACACTGGGGATTGAACCCACAACCCAGGCATGTGTCCTGATCGGGAATTGAACCGTGACCTCCTGGTTCATAGGTCGACGCTCAACCACTGAGCCACGCCAGCTGGGCCTTTGTTGTTTTCTTAGAGAATTTTTATGAGTTTATTTTCAGATTCAGAGGACAATGAGATTAAGCACCTATAAGGGTTTATGATGTGCCCCATCCTTGAGCCAAATGCTTTACATGAAGTCATTCCCAGTCCACCCCACGGAGGTAGTGCTGTGATTCTCCCTGTCTCACAGATGAGATTCAGAGAGGTTTCATGACCTGCTCAAGGATACACAGGCACGGTTCCTCAAGAAGTTACACATTTGATCCAGCAGCTTCACTTCTGGGTATATACACAAAAGAAGCAGAAGCAGGGACTTGAACTGATGTTTGTACACCAGTGTCCACAGCAGCATTATTCCCAATAGCTAAAGGGTGACAATCCAAATGTCCATCCACAGGCAAACAAAACATGGCATATCCATGCAATGGAACATTATACAGTCCCCAAAACGGGTGAAATTCTGACACATGCTATGACGTGGATGAACCTTGAAGATATGCTAAGTGAAAAAAAGCCAGACACGAAAAGACAAAAACTGTACGATACCATTTATATGAGGTGCCTAGAGTGACCAGATTCATTGAGAGTAGGTAGAACAGTGGTTGCCAGGGGTCAGGGGAGGAGGGAATGAGGACTTACTATTTGATGGGCATAGAGTTTCTATACGGGATCATGAAAAAGTTCTTGAGATGGATAGTGGTGATGGTTGTGCAAGCCACTGAACTGCACACTTAAGAATGATTAAAAATATCAAGTGTGTTATTTATATCTTCCCACAAAAATAATATAAAGAGAACACACAGCAGATGAGTGGAGCCTGCAGTGATCCCCGACTGTCCTGAGCTCCAGCTCACCTGGTACCTGGCTGACTTTAGCTCACTCATCTAAAGGATCAGTTAACGATGCTGACTCCCATCTAACCTTAGCAAGGCTTCAGGACACACATGGGGGTGGGAGGGGAGAGTCCCGGGTAGCTCTGGTTTTGGTGACGCTGTTGCTCTGTCTTGGCTGGCTGTGTGGCAGAGAGATGCTGTAGAGCTGAAGGTCTGCTCACGGGCAGGGCAGCCTTCGGGCCAAGCAGTCTAAAGAAATATTGAGTAGGACACAGTGCTTACAAATGTTTGAACCTGAATGCTTTGAGGCAGGCTGGGTCCTCTCTATGGCTTGACACCCAAGCTTCTCAACCCATCTGTGTGTTACCTTCTAGTCCCTACTGACACTTGAGATTTTGACCTCCATTCCTGAGAGGTACAGGGCAGAAAGGAAGAGTGAAGGAGGGAAGGTGGAAAGCCAAGTGCTGAATGGGGAGAAATGCAAGTGAATCAAGCTCTTAAGGCAGTGATGGCGAACCTTTTGAGCTCGGCGTGTCAGCATTTTGAAAAACCCTAACTTAACTCTGGTGCCGTGTCACATATAGAAATTTTTTGATATTTGCAACCATAGTAAAACAAAGACTTATATTTTTGATATTTATTTTATATATTTAAATGCCATTTAACAAAGAAAAATCAACCAAAAAACGAGTGTCATAGGTTCACCATCACTGTCTTAAGGTTTGAGACCAGCTGACTGGTCTTTTAAAAGTAGGAATGCGAATATATTTTACATGTATGTGTTATGGGACATGATCTCACTTCTTTCTATGAGCTCTAACTCTTTAGTAAAATGTTTTACTCTCACGAATGCCCTTGGGAGTGAGCTTTTGGTGGAAACTGAGAACAGGGCTGGGCTTTATGTCTGGGTCTGTAAGTGACAGACAAAGCATGGGCATGGTTGCCTAGAAGCAGAGGTGACCTGGAGCATTTAGGTCCCTTGGAACTATCCAGAAGTCTCAAGAGGGCATTGGAGTGCCACTGGCATGGACTGCGGGTTTGACTGCAACTTACTTACATCTGGCTAGACAGAAATGGCTGAGATGATGACGTCTGGGGGACCGAATGACTGGCCTTAAGTCTGAAAATTATTTCCATCTGCCCCACTTGGGGCGGCCAATCCTGATGCAAGAAAAAACTTGTCTACCTGGCTCCCCTGAGACCAGTTCTTGAAGCTGCATTTGATTTGGGGGCGGGGGTGGGGGCGGGTACAAATCGGGAAAAGTTCCATTTCGGTGATAAATGAGGGACAGTTGTGCTCGTTCCCCCCCCCCACACACACACACACAGGGGAGGACCTGTCACCTTCACTCGGTGAATATTTGAAAGTCACAAGAGCCCAGCTCTCTCTCCTCTTACTTTATGTTAAAGGAGAGGGAAATGCAGTGTTTACAGTTTCTAGTTCCTGAA